TGCACACAATGTGGTACCTTCAATTTTGGGTAGATACAGATGTACAGAGGATGTGATAAGGAACCATAAATTTTTTCCAGACTCTCATCACTTCTAAGGACACAGGTTCATAGAAATCACTATTTCTTGAAGAACTGTAGCAAAAGGTAAAAAATGGTTCAGTCACTTCAGAAAGTTCATGGCATGGAATCTGAAATAGTAAGAATTGTAGAGGCTTGAGAGAGGAAGAGTGAACATGTTCTTTGCCAAGGGGAAATCCCTTTCTTGACCTTAGTCATTAACATCCCAATTGGTGACACCACTGAAAGACTGATGAAAGCAGTTGGAACTTATGCATGTGTCAGGTATTACAGTGCACTGTGGTGCTTTTCATCAGAGTGTTTGTCTTAAGTTGTTAATTTTATGTTGATTAAACTAGGCCTGTACCAGAAACACTGACATTATCTTCAGTCAAATCTAGTTGATTCAAAAGAATTAGAAGTGGATATAACTCATGGCCTTAAAAATACTGCATAGACGTCTCTTGTGCAGTCTGATCAGCAATTTCAAAGATCAACAGTTGTTACAATGGTATTTGAAGCATACAAACATACTCAAAAAAAGATTTAAAAATTTATCCTTTTCCCTCCCCTATTGGTCAGAATGACAGCTAATATACACTAACGAGAGCTGCATCGTACTGTCAAATACCACATCCTTTTATTGTGATTAATGATGTTGCCCTCAAGTGGTTCAGGAATTTGGGGCACCATTTTTCTTCTTGAAACTTACTTTCCTGCTGGTGGTCCTGTACTCTTTTCTCAGGGTAGACATGACACTTCGCTGACAGTGAATCCATAGAGCTGAAGACTGTGCCTCAGATCTTGGAAGTAATTTACACCTAAACATCTGAGTTCATCAGTAACTTCCATTTGAAATAGCTCAAATGGGATTTCCACTTCGAAAGCTTTCACTACACATTTTCTGTTGACATATTTGCTGAGTGTAAGAGAGATATAAGGGTTTGTAGTTCAAACTGTTGCCTCAACATCCATTTGGAATGGGAGAGACAATGTTGCCAAATAAAGAGGTGTCATGTTTATTGTGCGTGGTGTCTATGGCTACAAGACAATAAAAATTTTCTGAAAGTATGTTCTTCCAGAGGAAGAGAAACACAGCACAGTGCTGTGTGCTTTTCACTGTACTGGGAGAGACTGTCTCTTAAGGAAAAGCTGCTGTGAGAGCACTCCTCCCTACCTGAGCCCCTGTAGGGTTTGCTACTGTTTGCTCATCTGAGGAAACTGTATCCTGGACCACCGTTCTTCAGGGGACAAGGTATGAGGCTGCAAAAGAGAGAAGCATGTATTAGTCCCTTTTTCTGCCCTCTGTTTTCTGGCCACTCCTCACCACAGCACTGACCAGTGTTTTTCCAAATGGGATACCTGAATCTTGTATGTCTGTAAAATCAATACTTGTGTTTTCACATCTAGGCAATGTAGTGTTAGGGCTTCTTCTGTTACTGTTTCTGTTAGTGTTCCTTCTGCAGTTTCATCTCTTAATATTGTCAGGGCATTTATGGAATTTGTGTGCTTAAAGATTTTTCCAACACTGTTAGTTTTCATTGTCTGAATTAATGCACAGTCAATAGAGAGAAGGTGAGAGATAAAGAAACTATATGACTATTTTATTTATGGGGTTCAACTTCTGGCTGGTGACAGATAAAAGAAATTATTTAATAAGGTGTGCATTTATGAAAGATATTAAATAATAGAGAAAAAAAGGTTCTTTTTAGACTTCCTTATTCAAGAAATCTGGCCTTTGGTAAGTTGACTGTTTTAAGTATGTGACATTATAAATGCTTTAATCCATGTTTTTCATTCTCCTATTTGTTTCACTTGCTCATGACTTGTTTTCAGCAATCATCTCCTGGGTGCTGTTAACTCTTTCTCTATCAGAAGTCTTTTGTGTTAGCTTACGTATGCTTCCATGTCATGAGAACTTTGAGCAGCTGTATACAAATTATGTAATACATATACTACTGAATATCAGTAATGCAAATATGTGAAACCTCTACTTCCTAAATGCAATTGTGTGTGTTCTTTCCAGGTGCGATCTGGCTGTTCTTTGAGGTCATCTTTTCAGTATCTTCCAGTTTCAAAACTAGACAGGTGTTTTTATATGCTCTATGCTCTTTTGTGATTTTTTAATCCGTGTTGCAAATGAAGTACTATACTAGTGAAATCAGAGGAAATGGAGACACGATAATTCTTTATACTTAACTAACAAATTGCGTAAGCAACTTCCTCTCTGCCCCTGAGCCAGGTGTTTTATGTCCAATAGTGACTGAATCTCAGGGATCACCTGAAACGCTGAGAGTAAGATTTGGCATCACACACGCTCTGCCACCTTTCTGTACATTTCTATGCCATGGATTGCTGTCTGCTAGTAGCTATTCTCAAGTCTGTGTGGGTTTTACTTGAGCTACCTCTTAGGTAGTTGTGACATCTTGTTTGCATCCTCTTGAAAGGATATAAACTTCTTTGGGAAGAAATCATAGGTTAGAATCATTTTAGATTAACATTTGCTGAATAATTTAGAATAAACCCCTTTTTCTATGTGATTTACTGTCTTACAGAAAATTCATTATGAGATAGGAATATCTTAACACTAAATAGAAGACCATGCCTCTAGGTGGTATTGCACATTATATATCCACTTAAATTGCATATAAAAATATGTGGCAGCATATCATTAAGCCATACATAACAATTTAAAGCTGCAAACTAACTGGCTGATAATGTCTAGACAAAATCTGTGATTACATCAGAATTTTCCAATGAATTCTTGCTTAATTTCATGTGAATTATTGCGTAAGGCATCAAGAAAGGATTAAACATGGCATTCAACATGAACCCAACTATATTCTGTTCTGTCACATAATTCCAGCGTGTCTTCAGGCAACCTAATTAACCCTTCCATACCTCTTTTACTGTTTCTAAAATAGGCATAACCAATCTGTGTATAGGATGTGCAGTAAGATTTAGTTCATTCCTGTTTGTAAAGCACTTTGAGATTCTTGGATGGAAAGTGCTCTATAAATGTAAATAGAAGGGCAGAGCTCTAACTGTGCAGTTTTAAAACACTCTGCATGTTTTTCTAATTTGCAAGTCTTTTTGTTGATCATGCCATGAAAAAAAAAAAGAGATGAACTTATATTTTCAGTGCAATACAGAGAACAGTTCTCCAAGTTCACAAGTGACCTCAAGCTCAGGACTTGCTCAGTGGTGTATTGAGATGCCATTTTCTTTTACTTACAATGAAAGAAAGAAATACCCTCCACGTATATGTGGCTCATCTGAGCAAATAAAACCTGTTCTGATTTCTGAACCTGTGTTCTAAATTTTATACATTCAATTTCTTCCAGATCACCACAGACCTGAGGCAGCGTTGCACAGACAGCCATACTGGAACCTCAGCCTCTGCACCTATGGCTGCAGGCATCATTGCACTGGCACTGGAAGCAAAGTAAGATCTGAGTTACACTCTGAAAAAGAAATAAAATTAAATATACAGAAAAATCTTTCTCATTCATCCAGCACCTTTATCCAGGGATCTCAAAGTGCTTTGGAAACTTTGTTGTAGTAATTCACAGTACCCTTCCAAGGGCAGAAAAGATCTATATGCTTATTTCACATGCAAGAAAGCTGACTCTCTGGAAATGACAAGAGAGTACTCAGAGTTAAAGTAACTTGGAATGGTGGTAAGCACAAGCAGCTTCCACTAAATGATATACAGCGTCTTCACAATATCTTACAGTACCCTCACAGTTCTGCCCAAACTTGCTTTACTCTGCAGGCTACTGCAGGCCTCTTGCATTCATCAAGCTCCTCTAAGCGGTATCTGGTCTTGAACTTTGAGGAAAGTTTTGGGATGGTCTTAGGCTACCATTATAAGAAATTAATATAATACGAAAAATAAAAATTCTCAACTTCTGCGTGCTGACATAAGTTCGTTTTTTATAATGACTCTGCTGCAAAAAACCTGGATAGTGTAGCTATGTAGTCCTTTTGCTTGTCGCTCATAAAAGTTTCCACCCTACAAATGTTTTCTCAAGTACAGCATTTTGTTCTTTGCGTCTAATACACATCTTTTAATGCCCTTCATGGAGGAACGGAAATACTGGATGTTTATCAGATAAATCTCTACTTCACAACCTTTTGCATTGCTTTCCGTGGTGTTGGATAATATTTGCAGGTGTGAAGTGGAATGCTCCACCCCAAATCGTGCTTGAAATCAAATGTTTCTAGGTGCTAGGAAGTTGATTCTATCAAATTCTGAAGAAAACTAGTTTATTTTGGGAGGATACAGTTCCTTTGAAGAAAGTAAAAAATTTGCATACAGTAGTGATTTCAAATTGTAACTCATAGCAGCAGATTTATGTTTCCATCTTTAATGTTGCTTTTTTGAGGAAACAAAAGCTATTCCAAAAAGTTCACATAATGCTTTTTTTTATTTAAATGTCTTTTTACTCTCTTCTTAACCTTGGTTTTAAAATCCTTAAGTTCATTCTAAACAATTTGCACATGCAGATAAAATTGCATGTGCATACATTTCATTCTGCTCAAAGTTTTTCTAATTATTTCTTAATGGAGGTTGCTTGTAACTTATTTTTTGTATTTTTTATGATATTTTGTGTGTATTTTCTAACAAACAGTTGTTGTAATTGAAAACTTCAAAGAATTACGCACAAGAAACCTACTACCCAGCTATTGGTGATTGTGATATCTTAAAACATACTGAGAAGCTTACATTTCACACAGCCTTTTTTTGTGTGTGTGAACTTTGGAAGTGCCTATGGACTAGTTTTGTTTTTTTTCAAAATTAATAGCTGCTATGAAATGAACAAAGACAGAGTCGTACTGAAGCTTCATGTGCGGAGATGGTGACAGATGTGCCAGTAATTAAAGACTCTAGTAATTTTAGTGTGTTTGTAATAATCTGTTACATGATGCTAACAAGATTCAGAGTGAAAATCTATTAATTTTGCCTCCTTTCAGATTTTTTTCAGTTTCAGTGTATGGAGAGTTCTTACTTATTTCCAGATCTTAGCCTGTGTATTTTAATAGATCCAAAGGAATTATAATATTATAAGTGTGGTTTTATCCATTTGTATTACATTCACTAACTTTTTTCTCCTATGACTACTTACAACCGATTTTCTGAACACAGCCATGAAATAAAAAGATAAAAGAAAAAAAAAAAAAAAAAGGAAGACTGGAGGGAAATATTCCCAGCTTTCCCATGCGGGTTTTTTTCTTAGGGTTGGAGAAACCTTTGGTCTCGTAAAGTTATAGATTATGAAGTAAGGCTTTTAATATTACAAGGAGATCATATCATAATATATTCAGTTATAATGTCTGGGATTTGTTTGTATGAAACAAATTACTATTTTAAGCAGTTTCTGAACCGTAATTCTTTATTTATCTGATTTGAAAATTGAGGTTGTATTTTTCACCTGTGATACCTGCCTCTTTAGGTGATCCTAAGTAAATGCTAGGAATTAAAGTAATCAAAAAAAAATTTTGAAGTCATCCTAATTATTTTCTCTAATACATTTAAAATATACAATATGTAAAGGATGTGATACTGTGGCTTAGTGTAAGGGCTTACTGGAACTAGTTTGCATTCAAAGAGAGTTTGCATTTGCATAGATTCTTCCTTAGATTCCATATTAGTGCCCGTGCTAATACCACAACTGTTTATATGAGATTTTTTAAAAAGACTAGTTGTAAAGGGGTTTTGCAGTGTTAATTATGCTCTTCTTACAGCAAGCTGCTTAAAAATTGGAGCACTTAGTCCTGACCACTTCTTGAACAAATCTGTAATAATGTATAGTTTCATTCCACTTTGGGCTGGAAAACACAACAAATTATACTGCGGAAGGGATTTGAGCCTGTAAAGTCTGTTTTCCCCAGCAGCCAAGGTAGAATCAAAAAATCATAGAACAGTTCTGGCTGGAAGACTAGAAGAGACCCTAAAGATCATTGAGTCCAACCTTTGTCCTAGCACTGTTAACACCACTAAACTGTGTCCCTCAGCACATCTCCCCTTCTCTTAAACCCCCCCAGGGACAGTGACTCACCCCCCTCCCTGGGCAGCCTGTTCCAATGGCTGACAACCCTTTCAGTAAAGAAATTCTTCCTAATATCTAACCTGAACCTCCACTGGTGCAATTTAAATCCATTTCCTTTCATCCTGTCACAGTCCACTAGGGAGAGCAGACCAACTCCCGCCTCTCTACAACCTCCCTTCAGGTAGTTGTAGAGACCAATAAGGTCTCCCCCAGTCTCCTCTTCTCCAGGCTAAACAGCCCCAGATCCCTCAGCCTTTCCTCATATGACTTGTGTTCTAAGCCCTTTACCAGCTTGGCAGCCCACCTCTGTACCCTCTCCAGCACCTCAGTGTCCCTCTTGTAGTGAGGGGCCCAAAAATGGGCACAGTGCTCAAGGTGCGGCCTCACCACAGCTGAATACAGGGGCATGATCACCTCCCTGCTCCTGCTGACAACACCATTCCTGACACAGGCCAGGATGCCGTTGGCCTTCTTGGCCACCTGGGCACACTGCTGGCTCATGTTCAGCCGGCTGCCCATCAACACCCCCAGGTCCCTCTCTGCCTGGCAGCTCTCCAGCCACTCCTCCCCAAGCCTGTAGCACTGCTGGGAGTTGTTGTGGCTGAAGTGCAGGACCTGGCATTTGGCCTTATTGAAACTCACGGAATTGATTCCGTTAGTGGAAGACATCGGGAGGGGAACAGAACACTAGTCTGGCCTGGGTGTGAGTTAGAGCAGCCAAGAGGTTGCTGCAGTTCACACACACAGGTACATATTAAACCAATATAAAATGAGCAAGGCCAATTTCTAATCCAACATAACGACTTTCTTTCTTTGATAAGCCCCACTTGGAAGGATTGGCAAATAGCTGGTGGAGGACTTCTTAATTGCCTGCTGCCTTGAACCTTGCACTTAGTTAGTTTTTTCAACTGGAATCTGCGCCTGAAATCCTGGCAGCCAATTGTTTCAGGATGATGATCTGCTTCGTACCCCAATTTCAAATAATATGAACACATAATTTTTTATTTTATGTCCAGTATTTGAGTATCTAGTGGCATGTTGTCCTTCAGGAACCAAAAAAATCTAACTGAGTTTCAGAGGGTTTGTTTGGGATCCTTGAAGACATAATGCACAAAGGTAGACATACAACAACTGTTACACAAAAAAAAAGTATCTCTTAGTCTTCATATTCTGTGGTTTTCCTATGATATTCAGGTAGTTAATGGTTTTATCTGATGGTTCCTAGCCTATCTAGTATCCTGTTCAGGCTTTATGGATAAATGCCTGTTTGTGTATTGCACTTCTTAGTCACCACGTAATGCTGAATTGTGCTGGTTGTAAACCAGCAGTTATGGATATAAAGTATCATTGATTTAGTAAGCAGAGACTGCAACGTTCTTACTAAATATAAACTACTTGCATTGCATTTTACCATCTACTGTTGATATCAGAAATACACTTTTTCATTGATGAAAGCTTTGAATATGGGATTTGGTGAGAGACAGTGTTCCCATGTCTGTTCCAATCGGCATTGTGCCATGTTCCTTTTAAGAAGCCAAATTTTTAAAAAAATCATCTGTTCCTGATGGAAGAATATGTTATATATCCCCACATGAACTGCATGCTCCACTGCCTATAAGCCAATGCATGTTTTCTAACCTATGACATATAAAATGCAGATACATGAGTAAGAAGTAGCACCTGAAATGGAAGTATTAATTTACTATGTTTCTTCTCTGTGATATGCTCGGTAGTATAGCTTTGCAGAGAGTCTGTTTTCTTCCATGGTTCTCTTTACATGAGCTATATACTTAATTTGTCTGTGGTCACATGAAACCAAGGCTAGAACAAGGTAGAGCTGGTAAGAGTTAAAGAATTTCAATGAGTTCTGATACCAGTGATCCATTCAGAAAAGTGACAATGCACCACATTCTTGTAAAAATACAACTGAGTGTAATCACTGAGATGAAAGGAAACTAAAGCTCACATTGCAAGGGGTCAAGAGTGTCAGAGGGAGATACTTTGGATTTCTGAAAACTGAAACTTGCAATACTTTCCATATGGTTTAATATTCTTACAGAAAGGAGAAAAGCAGGATACTGTCTGGAAAGGGGTAGTTTTGGCTGCAGAGAACATATTTCTGTGTTGTCAAAGTTATGAGGCATTTACTTGTTCATAAATGTAGTGAGAGGCTAAAAGTGGTGAGACAGTTGAGGAGAACTGTGGAGATGCTGTCAAGTGACCTCCATATGTAGGTTTTCAATGTAAGAGAAGGTGAGGCTACTAGCAGATACACTTGAAGCTATCTGCTTTTCCTAGGTCTTTGCTCCCTTCATTGACTGCCCGTTGTAAAAGAGAATGCTAGAGTGTGTGAGTTAGAAATCTTTTCCTGAATCTTTACATTTTTGGTGTAGTTTTAAAATAATACTTTTAAAGGTGAATTATTCAAAAACCATAAACAGAAATAATTGATTTAGAACTTGTGTTTCTCTTGAACTTTAACCAGCAGTGCCACTTACACAATTTCAGTTAATATATTGAGATTGACTGGAAAGTACGTTCCTAAATCCAGGTTGCCCGGTGTTTCCCATTTTAAGGACCTGTTTTCAGTTACATATAACTTTGCCAAAGAATAATTGTTCAGTCTTAAGTTTTCCATGTAACTTCCTTTAAAAAGGTTTTAAGAAAATTCCATCCAGACATTTTTTAAACTGAGTCTAGGTTGAAAAAAAAATTAAAGCTCAGCTGTGATCATTTGTTAACTTCTACATTGAGTTTTACTGTGTCTGTGCTTTGGAACAACAGCTAGAAATAGAACAAGTGGATAGCCATTGTTCTGGTGCCAGGGCAATGCCTTTTACTTGTATAAGCTTTTCAAATATCTCAGCTGGCATGTGCTCAGTTGAGAGTTTTAAGAGTTTGGCAGCTCTACACCCTGTAGTTTCTTGATTCTCCAAGTGTTCCCCAGGCTCAGCTTTTAGAGGCTGCTTAGGGTTGTCTCTGAAGTTGCTCTTAGGGACACTGCTGGCCGTTCATTGTGAAAGCAGACAGCCCATCTGCAAGCAGCAAGTGGAAGGCAAGGAGGATGGAAGAAGAGCAGATTCCGTATTCTAGTCTTCCTGCAGTCTGTTTCTTTGAGATTCCCTACCCCACAGTGATTCTGTGATAATGCAGCTATATTATAAATACTTTGTATCATTGGACTTGGCAGATAGATCAAATCAATAACCTGAGTACCACGCTAAGGACGCATGCACAGTCACATCTGGTTGTAAAACTGACAGTTGACCAAAGATTTTTGTTGCTGTTGTTTCCACACTGTTGTCCCTCAGCAGTGGAGAGTCACATTTCATTCTTACTCTAGAGAAGGCAGAAGAGATGTGGCTCAGATGACGTCTCTCGCAAGAGGTTTCTCCTCAGAAAGTCATTATTATCAACCTGCAGTTGGGCCATTTATTGTTTTCTTTTTGGGACTTCAGATTTTCTATCTCTGGGGAAAATATGGTACTCTCTAGACTCTGGAATCTGCCATAACTCTGTGCACTACAGATTTGACACAGGTACACCAGAACACCATTGCTGGTAGGCTGCTTATCCTGTTGTTCATCTAAGGGAATATATCTGTCATGTTATATCACAAAAGCAATACGAGGGTAATCCAAAAGATGGTTGTAGCCAGTGCAAAAGCATTCAGCACTGACTCATGAAGAGACTAGGATGCATGACAGAAACTATGAAGGTGCTGCATGAATATAAACTGAATGACATAAAGTACAGCCAAACATAAAGTGATACAGATGATGCTGTACAGACAAATACTGTTATCTTGGAAATATGTTGAAAAAACTATAACTTTGAATGGAAAATTCTCATATTGTGGAATTTGTGAGCTTGAGCTGTTTCATATGTTTAAAATATGAGGGATGTACTGAAATTACTCAGTGACTGTTGAAATGAATGGATCTGGTGTGTCTTTCCACAGTGAAATCTGCCAAATATCAGGACACTTCAACCAATATTTTTGTACATGGGTCTATGTATTGGAGTCAGTAGGACAGGCGGTAGGATTGTAGATCTCATGAGACAATTCAGCTGATTTGTAAGTGATGGGAATGTGTGAAGAAACTAGGCAACTGTTTCTTATGTTTTGTTTCTAAATTTATCATAAAGCCCTTAAGGGTGGCATTATGCAGAAATTAGTGATTAAAGTGATCCTCTATTGCTCTTCAAATTTTCTATGGCACAAAGCCTCTTTTTAATAGCGATAGTTAACCATATCTGTTTTCTCGTAGCCAAGATTTCCAAAGAAGGGTATTTGGTACTTCCGCATTGAATGGTGATCCTCTTCTTAATCTACCATGTGATACTGTGTTTTTCCCTTGATTCTTTGGAGAAAAGTTTATTGTATTCTTCCAGCAGTTCTCATCAGATTCTGCTATTTTGGCAAGAATTTTTTTTCAGATAGGGCACCTTTGTCACATTCAAATTGCTGGTTGTGAAGATAACGTAGCGTTCATTATTCATGTTGCTAACCATATCATTCTGCTAAAAAAAAAAAATTAAAAAATACTTTTGACTCTATTTGTTTATTGCGTTGAGTGTTGGGGGTTTTTTGTTTGGTTTTTTTTTTGCTAATTGTCTCTCTTGCAACAATTATTTATTCTCAACAGTTATTTTTGGCACAGTATCATTATGCAAAAGGATAGAGCCTAAATTCTTTACCATTTCAAGGATTAGCCCTATTGTCACTAGGGAGACTGCTTGCGGAATGAAAAAATCAGGTTTGTCCAGAAATTATCATCTACTATTTCTAAGCAGCCTGCTTAAAGATACAGTTAAATCTCAAAAAAGTGTCACTATAATATAATTTCATATATTTATCCTATATAATTTTTTTTTGTATTTATTTTGTTCCATAAACATTCTGAGATGCCTGAAAGAAAAGGGCTGTACCTTAGAGTATAACTATTGGTTAAGGACAAAACATTCTTCTTTTTTTGGCTGCTGTACAAGCACTTTTGTATGTAATTTTTCTCACTTCTTGATTTTGAGTATTGTCTGCTATGTGTAATCCCAAGACAAGAGAATATAAGCTAGGAGCAAGCTGTTTTATAAACAAATTGGCTGCAGATTTGCAATAACTTCTGCATCCCTGCCACTTTCACCTATAGCTGTAGTTTGTGGAAGCTGAAATTAGTCACCTGAAAACTCAAATTAATGCATCTTGAATGAAAAAGAAAGTCCTCTTTTTTAAAATAGATTATAATGGGTATTCACTAATTGCTTCAAAGTAGCTTGATTTCAGCTGAGAGAATAAGCAGAATTCTATTTCTGTACTTAAGCGCCATAAAGCACTGATTACTCAAGTATTTCCAAAGGATATTCTTCTGACAAAACAACTTTCGGATGTGAAATAGTATGTGAGGGATCCCAATCTCCACAACATCCGTGCACATCAGAGACATGAGATTTTTCTTTTTCTTCCTCTGTCAGAGGGACTTAGAGAGGAACAAGAAGCTATTTCTGCATGTTTGTTGTTACCCTGTGTCTGCTTCCCAAATAAGTTTCTCGTTGAAATTTCTAATAACTCAACTATGTGTTGTTTAAGAGTGTAGAGTGAAGGCAATGTCCCACTCAACCAGAAAGTGCCTGACTCACAGGCCCCCATGGCCTGAACGTCCGCACACTCTTATGCCTGTTACCTTAGTGTAGTTTCTGCCTCCAAATGGAAGGAGAGTCCAAGTATCATGCCTTAAGGATAAGTGCCAATAATGTCACTTGACTGCTATCCCAACTGACTTCTTGATCTGAGGGGCACAAGAGCATATGTTAAGAAACTAAGCCAAGGTTTCACCACTTTTCAATGACTGCCTAGTCCTTGACAGTGTAGATCGTCAGTCCTAGTTCTGATAAACTTCGTTCAGGTTGGTCATTACAACTAAGTGGAGTTTCCCTGTGTGTGCACCAGGGGCAAATAATGATACTCTGACAATATTACTGAGTGACTAGCAGTGTCCACTGGAATATTTTTTTCTTTTTCATTATTTGATGAGTCAGTTTATCATTCCCTCTACTAAACTGCATTTTTTTTAATGGAATACTATTTTTCTTATTTCAGATGGTAGAAAAACTGATAAATTGGAAGGGAAAGGAAAAAATATCCTAGCGATGGCCATGCACACCTTTAGATGATATTCTAAGAAAAGAAACTCTCTTTGGGGTGATTCTGAGAGAAACAAGAAAACTATGTTCCCTAAAGATTTGCTCTAATCCTACAAGATGAATGTATATTAATGTCATAGTGAGAATGCAAATATCATCTTCTTTTGCCTTCCTGATGGACAGGTTGTTAGGTATCTCTTAAAGGGTTATACATCTGTGCAATCAGACATTTGCTCTGTAACTGCTCAGATTTAGTGCTGACAGTTTTGTCTTCTTGAAAAATACACATAAACCCTCAGTGAATTTCAGGGCTTGGGGTAATAGACAGATGAATAACAATAGAGGCACCTGAAATAGCTTCAATAGGAGCTGAAAGTATAACGCAAATGCCGTCTTAATCACACAGCAGGATTTAGTAGAGCTTTTCAACAAGCCAGTATTTTACTCTTTTTTTCTTGGCACTGGTCAAGGTAGATAACATACAATAGGTAGTTCCTGGTCATACAGATCTCCTCTGTGTGAAATACACTCCTTCATCCTACCTTAAGTCTTATATAATAGAATATTATCATATATCATTATAGTCTGCTTAATACAAACCTTCCACCTATACAAATAATTTCATGTAGTGATCCTGTAAATTTAGGACAGATTCTTTTGAATGGAGCAAAGGAAAGCATAGAAGAGAAATTAGGGTTGTTTTGATTTGGATAGTTTTAGCTTACATGACCTTGTATCCCTGCATTCTGGCAAACAATGTCTGACCTCTGACTTTGTCTTTTTCATAGTCCATTTCTGACGTGGAGAGACATACAGCATATTATTGTCAGGACTTCACGTGCAGGACATCTGAACGCTAACGACTGGAAAACCAATGCCGCTGGTTATAAGGGTGAGAGCTTCCTTTCTTTGCCATCAGAAGCGACACCTTGTTTGGTATTTTTGAAAAAGAAATAATCTCAAGTAGTTTGTTTGATCCTATGTTGTGCATAGTTTTGAGATCTGTCAGGCTCAAACAGAGGGGACCTATTTTTTATAAGGCAATCTACGTAGAACGACTAAACCCAACACTAGCAGCTACAAAATGCATTGGCCAGATCACCCTAGTCCCTTTCAGTCCTGTTCCATGCACTGCTGGCAGAAAACTAAGTAAATTGTATTCATTGTATAATTAGTAGTGGGACAGAATAGCCTAGAGTTGAAAATACAGCACTTTCATGATTCAGACCATGTTCTAATGCAGAATTGTTGACAATTTTGATTAAAAATTGCAAAGCTTTATTTTCAAATTTCTGTTTTGTATGAATCACCCTACATTATTTATATTTAAGATTACTGTCAGATTTAGCATAAACAAAATCTGAGCTATCAGGACAGAAGTCATACTATTCAGTCAGCTGTCATGTAGCTTTCTAAAACTTCTAATGGTCTTGTAATTTTGTATTAAAGCTACAACTTTTTAACTTTTCTTCTCCCTCATAATGCAAGCAGAGGTGAACATTTGCGCCATTAAGTAAAGCGTATTTTCAAAAGGATTAAAACTGGACCTTGAATCCATACAGCATTGTATTTCAACACAAGTTGGCTTCTGATTCCCATTTGCTAAATTTTTTGCTGATTTCAATTTAGATGGCACCTAAAAAACGACCCAGAATGGCTTATTTCTGGTTCTCTTTTCGTCAGAAGATTGCAATACTTCTTTTAAGATGAGATTTGAACTGTTTGGTGCTAGGATCTCCTGAGAAAAGAATGCAATATACAAGAACCGTCAAATCTTTACCCTGGTTTCACTTTAAAACTGAAGCCTACCTTTAATCTATTTTAAATCAAGGCACTGCTACCATAGAGCATCTTTAATATATCATTCTGACCGTGATATTTCTGCTGCAATGGAATAGAAACCAAAGCAGAAAAAAAATCTTTCATTTTTTGAGCCAACCAGTCTCTAACTACAGAGGACAGATTTAGAAATAGGTATTTGTCTCAAACCCCCTCATCATGTGAAAGTTCTGACATTCAAGAGCCTGATTTTGTCCCATTTACAAGCACATGCCCACACACAAAACCCAGATATAGTGAGAAATAGCTACTTTCTTAACAGCAGTAACATCACAGTATCTGTTATTGTGAAACATTCCATAGGATTTAAAAAGTTTTGGCAGGATATATGGCTGTATTTCATCATTTTGCTGGAGTTATCTGAAGTTCGAACAACGCTTTTCAAGTAGCATGAAGTAGAGCACATTTCTTCTGTAACTCACTTGTAAGATTCTTTATGTTTTCCCACTTGTTGTCCCAGAAAGGCAAACACCCTGCGAGGCATTTCACAGCAGCTGTCACTCACTGTCAGAGAAGAGGTCACACTAACACACTAGCAGTAGCAGCATTGGCAGTAAGACTTGTACTGTTGCACCACTGGAGCCTGCTTATTCTGAATTCTTGGAGCCACACATTTTTTTCCCATGCATTGTAGCAGATAAATAGTGGGGGAAATGGCTGAAAAAAGGTTTCTCCTCCACTTGTGCAAAGTCATGAACATAGATAAGCCCGACTAGGGGACTGGGATTCAGGAAATACAACTTGAGCTGGCAGAGCTCTGCTGTAGACTGCATGGTGGAATTTAAAAAGAGGAAGACAAACTAAGTGTCTCGACCTCTGTGGAGCTCAGGAATCAACCTTAACCCAAACAAAAGCACGAGTTTTAACTAAATTATTTTGGCAACGTGGGCAGAGCAAATGGTTCCAATAAAAATGCAGCTCTCTGTAAACCTCTGTTGGTTTTGGAAGAAGGAGAAGCAGAAGATTTAGATTAAAACACAACATTCAAACTTAAATTCAAAACGGGGTTTGCACACCACTGCTGGCGAGACTGAAGTAGTTCTTTTACTATTACACGTGGCAATATTTAGTATAATATTACACTATTATCCTTCACCATTGCCAAGAGTAACAATTAAAGTATGTTTTTTCATAGATGAATTACTCTGATCAGACTGAGTTCCTTAAGGAATTCTGTCATAATTTTGATGATGGCAAGATCCGTATTTCTTCCACAGCATGTTCTTAACAAGGGAAGTGGTGGTAGATTTAATTTATTATTTTTTAAAAATTAACTAAACCAAAAACAGTCACAAGAAACAATCTGCCTTTCTTCCATGCATACTGGGGAATAAGAAGAAAATGAGGAGAAAGACAGGCTTGCTCCTTTAGAAATGAGAACTGAAAGGGTGAAAACAACAAAAACTTGAAAGAACCTCTCACTTGACAAAGGGTCAACAAGAGCTAGTAGTTGAAAATGGGTCAGCATGCCTTTTCAGAGGGCTGTTTTTCTGGACTGCATGGCAACCCTGTCCCTCTTCGTACTCCCTGGTGGTGTTTTACCATTGCGGAACACACAGAAGGGGCTCACAGATGTCATTACTGGTTGCAAGATCTCCCTTTTCCTCTGTCTTACATTCATAAAAAAAAGAGATTAATTCATGAAAAGCACTTGAGCCAGCTAGTGATTTGTTAAAACATTGTCCATTATTTGTTTAATTTTAAGTTTTCATTTTCATTAAATGCATGTCAATAGAATTAATTCAGGAATGGTCAAGAATTTTTTCTTGGTAATTATTTATTATAATTTTGTTGTCAGCCAGCATGTATCTTTCCTCAGGAAATTATTTCCTGGTTGTCTCAAAAAGAAAGACTTGAATACCCATTTGGGGATATTCTCTGGTTAGTCAGTTGTCCATATAATTTGTCACTAGATAGAGAGATAGGTTGTGCTCAATTTCACTTCAAAATCAGAGGGGTTTTTTACAATTGGAGCAGATAATTAACTAATTATATGGAAAAATACTAGAGATCGTGGTTTTGTGAAGATATCAGAAATGTTGTTCTGTTTTTCCTATGGTAGATTGATATGCAAAGACTCCTTGTTCTGTCAGTTGCTTGGCCAACAACAGAGCATATAACTGCATTCATAAAAAGGGAGTGCTGTGTTAATGCTGATGTCTCTAGGTTGAAAGGTAGAGAATGAAACTGCAGTTTTAAAAACAAAGATTGAATCATACATACAGTTCTTTATCTGTAACTGAAGTTTCAAATACTGTCTGTGGGGAAACAGACCATTCATAGTGAAGGAATACTATTAATTTCTAGGGACATTTTTAGAGAACATCTTTCACTCTTCCTGGCTACAAGGTGTTGACAGTAACACTTCAGTACAGTGAAATGCTACTGAAAGATAAAACGAAATCAAAACTCTAGCCGCTTTTTAAATTTCAGCCATTCCTAGGCTCAGTGGAGGTATTCTTTCTACCTCCAAGAGTTATCTCATTTGCCACAGGGTAACAGACTATGTCCCTTTAGGTTAGCCAAACTATTTACTGTTCCCACTGGGGAACAACTGGAGAGAATTTATCTCTTAAATGTTTCACAGCCTTCTAATATAATTTGTTAATAACAGTATTTAATAAAACTCATTATTATTCTTGTTGTGAGCAGAGCACAACCACTCTGAGGGTGAGAAAGAGATGATCCTACCTCTGTTCCTAGATAGAAGACCTAGATTGGCTCTAGAGTGACAAGTAACCAGGCACAAACTCAGTGACCATGAAGAAAATCTTCAGAACAATGTATAAATTTTAGAGAAGGCAAATAGACTATTCATAAACACTATTCCTAAAAATAAATATATTAAAATGTATTAAAATTATTTATTAAAATATCCCAAAATAATATATTGTATTCAAAAATAAAACAATTACTACAATTTTTAATTTAATAATTTGAATTTAATAGTTATTTTAAAATATTTTTAATCATTGTTGGAAGCTGACGTAAGACTTTTGAAAACCAAGAGACCTTCCAGTCTTACAATGCTAGCTGATACTTTCACATGTTATTAGCAGCCAATATCCTACCCACTCCTAATACCCATACACAGATACATGGAGCAAGTGAAACAGGAGCTTGGAATTTGGCTGTTGTAGAATCCCAGTTTTGGATAGCTGTCAGTCTGACACCAAGCACAAAAATCATAGAATCACAGAATGTTAGGAGTTGAAAGAGATGTCTAGAGACCATCTAGTCCAAGCCTCCTTCCAGAGCAGGATCACCTAGGGAAGCCGCACAGGAATCCTTCCAGGGCAGGCTCACCTAGGGAAGCCACACAGGAACACATCCAGGTGGATTTTGAAAGTGCCCAGAGAAGGAGAGTCCACAACCTCTCTAGGCAGCCTGTGCCAGGGCTCTGTCACGCTCATCGTAAAGTTTCTCTTCATGTTGAGGTGGAACTTCCTATGTTCTAGCTTGTACCCATTATTCCTTGTTCTGTTAGAGGGCACCACTGGTCCCCTTCCTCTTGACACCCACCCTCAGATATTTGTACACATTAATAAGATCGATTCCCTCCTCAGCCTTCTCTTCTCAAGACTAAGCAGCCCCAGTTCTCTCAGTCTCTCTTCATAGGAGAGATGTTCAAGTCCCTTAATCATCCTCGTAGCTCTCCGTTGGATTCTCTCCAGTAGGTCCCTGTCTCTCTTGAATTGGGGAGCCCAAAACTGGACACAGTGGTCCAGATGTGGTCTCACCAGGGCAGAATAGAAAGGGAGGACAAGCTCCCTAGACCTGCTGGACACACTTTTCTTAAAGCACCCCAGGATCTCATTCGCCCTCTTGGCCACAAGGGCACATTACTGTCCCATGGACAACTTACTGTCCACTAGGACTCCCAAGATCTTTCTCCATCAGGCTGCTTTCCAGCAGGACAACCCCTAATCTGTACTGGTGCCTGGCATTCCTCCTCAGATGCAGGACTCTACACTTGGCCTTACTGAAATTGATGAGGTTCACCTTCACCCAGTTCTCCAGCCTGCCCAGATCTTGTTGGATGGCAGCACAGTC